CGCGTGCAAGGAGACTACCATGGTCTGTCTTCACATGACGCACCAGTGAAATGCATCAGTGATTTATACGCACGTCCCCGGCCCTTGTTATTAAATTCATAAAGCAATCCCGGAAATAAGCCATCAATAACCAGTGAATACTGGTTGTGTGACTATAATCAACCCGTTCGCCAAATGGATGTCACGCTTCTGATATGGGTGTCGAGGTTGTACGTGAGCTAGCATGAGGAGGCAGAGATCTGTTGGTCGGATATTAACCCTAGGCTTCCCCTGCTAACGCTCTGTACAGGTGATGGATGGTTTTACAGCTAGACATTGCACGGAGACTCATTGTAGATGTTTGGAAAGGTTGACGATGGGTTTTCAATAGGGGAACAATGCTGGTCGTGGGTAGAGGGAAGAGGATGACTGGAAGAAAACAGGCGGAATTACGATAACGGTGTAGGTGTGGCGGATGGTAGGTTATGGAAATATGAAATGGAGAAGGAAAAGCGTTTATTGATAAGAGAAAGTGAGACGAAGCGATGGTTGATTTGTCGGGTCGGTAGAGAAAATCGGAGGAAAAATGGGAAGGGGTGGATCTCATGAAACAATTCGAACCAATTGGCCAATTTAATGATGTAATAACACGGGCAAGGAAAGAGAGCTCTTTCGGAAGTGAATGAAGAAAGGTGTGGACAACGAAGCCAAGGGCTGATTACAGAAACGGTTAAGAGAATGAACGACTGTAAGAGGTAAGCGAAAGAATGAGATGAAAAGCAAGATATTAGTGAGTGGCTATCCGGAAGTGAACTGAAAATGGCGGGAAAAGCGTTAAGGTTGGTGCAGGTTACTACTGTGACATATGAATAATCAAAGGATTCCAGGTCACGACGCACACACACACACACACGAACAAATATAAACCCACACACAATTATCTATCTATCTATCTATCTATCTATCTATCTATATATATATATATATATATATATATATATATATATATACATGAGGCGATGCTGAAAATTATACAATTCAACCCTCTTCACCAAAATCTGGCGAAAAGAAAGAAACAGACTGATACAGATAGATAAATAGAAACAAAAGAAACAGAATGAGAAAGCTAGGAAGAAACGGACTGGGATAGAGAGATATGCCAAACATTAAAGCTTTTTTAATTACTCATTATGTTACACAATCATACAGATGCATTATATATATATATATATATATATATATATATATATATATATAATTATATATAATTATAATATATCGCAGATGTAGTGGTGGTGTTATAAAAACAGTGCTCCGTGTAATACAGCAGAGCTATTAAGTATATGTTATCGGTTAGGAAAAAAAATATATATATATATATATATATATATATATATATATATATATATATATATATTTAATAAAAATGATAGATTTGTCGATATTACAGCAGGAAAATCCACATTATACATACACACACACGCACGCGCGTGCGCGCACACACACACACACACACACACACACACACACACACATATATATATATATATATGGTAAAAAATCCGTTGGTATGTAATATAAAATATCAAAACTGAGCCAAAAAATTTATTAATATAGAGCAATATAATTAAAAAAAAACTGAAAAAAAAAAACTGTCGTAGGACTAATCTCAAAAAATATAATAAAAAATAAAAGATAAATTACTAGTTACACTTTGTACTAAATTTCTGGAAAGGTTCGTCGAACCCAATCAAACGATTTGTTAACATTAGCAATAAAGAAAAACTACCTTTATCAAATTTGATATCACAGATTACTATTCCTCTATCTCCAGGGATCTTTTCATAAATTGCATTAACTTTGCACAAAACTATATGGAGATCACTGATGAGGAGATTAATATAACCATGACAGCTAAAAAATCACTTCTCTTTAATTAATTGGACATTTATTTTTATATATATATATTATTATATATATATATATATATATATATATATATATATATATATATATATATATATATTAATAAACAAAGTCACTACATTGTATCCACCTATTGTATATGACATATTATTGTGATTTCTAATAATTATTTGTACTAATGACCACCTCATAAAAATCGACCTACATACATTTATTTCGCATCTTTTTCGATTTCTCTTTCAACAAGTTTTTCTTCTTTATCTTTTATTCTGTTTGTCTCTGACTTTCATTTCCGCAATTTCGTCCACGTCTCGTCTTTTGTTAGGACATATGCTGGCGGACGAAATGTAGGACCAACATATTTCCTTAATTTAGTTCAGTTATCGCTTCTTTCTTATCGCAGCCATTTTGTTTTATACCGTTATTTCGTTTTGTTTCGTTTACACCTTGAAATATGTTTTTTCACTCCAAACACTTTGCCATATAATTTGCTTCGTCTAGACTTATTTTTCAAGATTTTTTTTTTTTACTTTATCGTTAAAGGCAATTTTCATTCAATCTCCGACATTTCTTTCTTTTCCTTTAATTCTTTTTTATCGTTCTTTTCTCTTCTTCCCTTTTTTATTTATCTTTTATAATCTTCTCATTATCTTCCTTAAAATCATTCTTCATTTTTTTCTTTTATTTCTATCTTTTTTTCTTTTTTTGTTTCTCCGGGGGTATCATAATTAATCCTTACTTTCCTTCTTTTTGTCAGTTTTATTTATTCTCTTCCGTTAATTTTCATTCATTGACTTTTTACCTTCTCTCTGCTATTCTTCTTGATTTTTCTTCTCTCTTTTTTTTTCTTTGCTTCTTTCTAGAGATTTATTTTTTGATCTTTCTCTGCTTCATTTCCTTTCCATTTTCTCCATATCTTTATACTGCGCTATTCTTTCCTCATTATTATCACATCTTTCTTTCGTTCTTTCTTTCTTTCTTTCTTTCTTTCTTTCTTTCTTTCTTTATTTCTTTCTTTCTTTCGTTCGTTCGTTCGTTCGTTCTTTCTTTTTTTCTTTCTTTCTGTCTTAATAACATTTAATTTTTATATATATTTTATTTGTATCACGTCTTTATGTTTGTTTCTGTTTTTTTTTTCATCTTTTAACCCCAATGAAGTCAATAAAGCCACTAAGGCTCAAAGTATTACTGAATGTTAGAGAATAAGAGAAAAGTTGAGAGAACAGTAAAAGAACAAGAATTAAGAAGAAAAAAGATAACGATTGAAATTGCAGTTAACCTTTTAAAACTTAGTTTTTTTTTCTTTCTTTCTAAATCTTTTTGGTTCTTCATATTTTCTTTCGTTCTTTCTTTTCGGTTTTCCTCCATTATTTTATTTCTTTCTATTGCCTCTTTTATTATTTTCCATTTCATTCTTTCGTTTTTTCATTCATTCTTGCTTGCTATTTCTTCCTTTCCACGTTCTTATTTCTGAATATTGCTTCTTTTACCATCGCCTATTTCTTTCTTTCTTTCTTTCTTTCTTTCTTTCTTTCTTTCTTTCTTTCTTTCTTTCTTAATGCAATCATTTTCTTCAAATCTTTTTCTATCACGTCTTTTAGTTTATTTATTTAATTATTTATTACTATCGCTCCCCCCTCACTCTCTCTCTCTCTCTTTCAAATAATCTCCTCTCCCTGACTTTCCTTTTATATTCCTTTCTTTCCGTCTTCAATTCTTTCTATCTTTTGTTTTTTTTTCCTTTTATAATTCATTTTTCTTCTCCCTTGGCAGAATACCGAATGGTTGGTGCTAGGGATTGTTTTGCTCAATAGTGAAGATTGCTACAAAAGCAAAACATTAACTGAAAAAAAACGTGCCATATTAAATAATTTCGTTAGATCAAGACATTTATATAAAGGAAATTCGTTCGGAAACGGCTAAATTGTCAGATGTTTTCTCAGATTAATAGTTAAATGGTGAAATACGCGGGCCTTGGCAAAAAACATACGTTTTCGAAACTTGTACATTGTAGCTACAGCATTACAAATAACTGTACACAATGACTGAAACCACATCACTTGAGGATTTACAATAGCAAAAACAACTAAATTATGATAAGATATGAAGAGAAAATAATGACATAGTAAAGATGTTATGATTCTACCAAACTTGCGGCATCAGTACTATTTTTTAATAATTTCAAAAAGCTCAAGAGTTGATGTGGTGTCTGTGTGTTCGTTAACTGTATTCTGCTATTCTTTGGGAAGCAGGATGTTTGAACGTGACGTCATGTGTAATGGTTATTGGGAAGGAGACTGCACAAGTAGAATGTCATTTTTTTTTAATTTTATTTATTCATTAATTAAATTATTTTCATTTTTTAATACTAATATAATATGTGTGCACATTAATTATGTTATGTGCATATTAATTGTATTATATGCACTTCAACATACAATCTTCTATGCTGATTATTATATTTAATTTAGGCTGTTTAAAATCGGTTCCTGATAATGACTGCAAAAGTCGAAAGTACTTGAACAAATATAACAAAATATAAACTTCGGAGAGTTTATCCACGACTTCGAACATAACACTCAACATCGTTTACGAAAATAGGAAAGGTATAAACAAATTATATATATATATATATATAAATGAATGTTTTAATCTTTTCGTAAATTGAATATACCTTATATATTTCTTTCTGGATAGTGACCCATGATTCGCAGAAAAAAAACTCTCGGATATAATCTGGGTGATAAGATCTCTCATCTTCATCAATACTAATTAATTATGCCTATATTTTCCGGAGTTACTTTAATCCATTCGCATCTACCTATAGGTATACACTTAATAGAAAGTTATAGACAAAAGCCTGCGTGCATGTGGACATATCTAAATAGAGGCAGACATAACCAGAAATATGTACGTATGCTCAGAGTTGAACCATGTCAACGGATATCCTTAAAGGAAATGGATACCACATCCTTCGTACTTATTGATAGTATTATCAATCTCTAATAGTAAAATGCCCTCAGAAGTGCCTGTATACGAAGGGAGAAGTTAGACATCTCCATTTTAGCTTCGGGTTTCCGTTTAGAAGTGAAGAAATGACAGCGGAAGTTAAGGTACGGCCATATTATGTAAGGAAGTAGTCCAGGCCGGAAGTTTAAGTAGATTTGGCTTCATGCGGAACCGCGCAGGGCATGGTGGGATTGCAAGAGAAAGTCATCGGAAAGTTAACATTGTTACTTCTTAGAGTTAATTTATTTATAGTTTCTATTATAATGGTTTTATTTTCCTCTTTTTTCTTTTCATTCTTTATTTTCTTTTAATCTTATTTTCTTCTTTGCTTTTTAATGCGTCATTTTCTTTTGTTTTTCTCATTTACTTTATTAAGTCCTTTCCTTTTAAAACTTTTCTTCTCATTTTTCGCTTTTCCTATCCTCTTTATTCCTCTTTTTTTTTATTGCCTTTCTCTCTTTCAGAGTCGTTTTAATTTTATTTCATTTATCTTTTAATTCTGAGGGAAATTATTTTGTCTTTTATGTAATTTTAATAAATCAAATTTTCATTGTTTTTTTCTCTTTGTTTCTTTCTTATTGACATTTTCATTTTTAATCTATTTGCTAGTTTATTTCTTTTGATTCAATCTTTGTGTCGTTTTTATTTTATCTTCATCCTCATCACCCTTTCTGTGTTTCTTTTTTCAAATTAATTTTTTTTCTTCAAAGCAAAACGATGTAATTGTTTCACTGATTTATATCCTTTTGCTTTTAATTTATTTTCTTTCTTTATATAATTATTTATTCATTTATTTTTATCTTTCGTTCTTTCTATATTTCTTATAATCTCCTTTTTCTTTTTCTCTTTCTTTCTTTCATTGCTTTTGCTTCTTATCGCTTCTTTCCTTCTTGTTATCGCATTTTTTTTTCATTTTACCATACTTTCTTTCATTCATTCTTTCTTCCTTTGATTCTTTTTCTTTTTTATTATCGCTTCTTTCCTTCTTACTATTGCCTCATACATTTTTCTTTCCTGCTTGCATTCTTATAATCACCTGTTTTTTTTTTTTAATTTTCATTCTTTCTTTCTTCTCATAATTGCTTATTTCTTTCGTTCTTCCTTTCTTATTACCGACTCTTTTTTCGTTTTGTTTTTTATTCTATATTTTTTCATTTCTTTGTTATATCCGCCTCTTCTTACTTTCTTTCAGTTTTCTATCTTATTATCACCTATTTCTTTTTTCATTCTTTCTTTTCGTTGCCTCTTTTTTTCTTATCATCATATCTTTCATTCTTTCATTCTTTCTTTCTTTCTTTCTTTCTTTCTTTCTTTCTTCCTTTCTTTCTTATAATCGCCTTTTTCTCCGTTCTTTCACACATTTTTTCTTACTTTTGTCACCTGTGACATTTTCTTTCTTTCTTTCTTTCTTTCTTTCTTTCTTTCTTTCTTACATTCAAACCTATATCTGTTTTCTTTTCCTTTGTTTGCTTCTTTCTTTCTTTCTTTCTTACATTCAAACCTATATCTGTTTTCTTCTCCTTTGTTTGCTTCTTTCTTTCTTTCTTTCTTTCTTTCTTTCTTTCTTTCTTTCTTTCTTCCCGTCTTTCTTGTTTTCTCAAGTACAATTTTTAATTTTTTCTTCTGAATGTAGTAATATGTAATTCTTTTACTATCTATCTATCTATCTATCTATCTATCTATCTATCTTATTCCGTTCCATATCAATAACTATCTAGCTTTCTGTCTATTCGTTATGATACATATGTATATATACATCTATATATCGAATAAAACAGATAAAATGAGTTATTTGAATAACTCTTCATCCTTTGTCTCTTTTTCGATATCGAGCATCATATCTTTCTCACCTGTGACTCTTCTCATTCTCTTCCTCTTCCTCTCCCCCACTCTTCTTATTCTCCTCTTTGTTATTATTGCAAATATTTTTTTCATTATTCTAATCTGCATATCAAGGTATTTCTTGTCATTTCATTTCTTACTTATTCCCGATTTAGTGACATCTGAAATAAGCTTAATGTTTGTGGATCTCAAACAAAATAAGAGACGTAGTTGCTATAATTACATGAAAAACAAATTGATTTCATCCTATTCTTGGTTAATGCCATTTTCGAATAATTCCTTTCCAAAAACTTTTCAGTTCTGAGACTTAGAATCAATGCACATAGTTTATTTTTGTCCTAAATCTAAAATCACAGAAACATTTTCGTTTTAAAAGGTATTTGTTATCGATATTTACTTAGATTACGAAAGCTTAAGGTAAAAAAAAAAAAAAACAAGTAAATATTTGGGATCATAGTGCGATAATTTTTCAATTTATTCAAAACCTACTAATTAACTCATGAATAATTTGATTTATACTTTTGCCAAGTGTATTTGAACATAAGAAAATAAAACGGACCCGACTAGAATTGGAACAATCGAGCCGTAATCCATTGCACCAACCGTTTATCAGGTGCATATGTTTGCAATAAATTATAAATATTATTATTCGCTAACTCGATAATAATAACTTCGACCCACTTAATATTTTCATGTGCACTCTAAAATCTTTCGGTATATCTTCATTTAGTTTAGTAACGTATGTCGAGAGAGGAACAATGGAGCAATGGATAGCGGTTCGGTTTGCGGACTCAATTATATTCACTTAGACATTATTAGCCTTGGAAAAGGTATGAATTCTTTTCTTCTCCCCCCACCTATAAATAAATAGCAGGACAGACCTGGTTCTATAACCTTAGATGACAACTGGTCTACCGGAAATAGAAATAGTAACCTACTACGGGAAAAATCTGCCTCGTCAGTCATTTATCGAAAGCGTAAGTGTATCACGCATGACACATAAAAAAAATGTCGAGAAAATTATTCTCAGATTGTGGTAGTAGATTCCCTTCCATTTTCACCGAAAGGGGGAACGAGGCAAGGGTCATTGCCGAGACACACCGGCTGGTGCGTGGAGCAAAAGCCAGAGTTAAATAAAACTTATTCAGCTTATGTAGAAAACTGTTATGCATGGTGTGTGTGTGGGGGGGGGTACATGCTGCTGTGAACAATTCTGAAAGAAATAGGTTGAGTGATTCCCACTTAAGTAACATTCTTGCAAGAAAGACACACGCGCGTGTTAGCACGCGCACGCACACACACATACACACACACATATATATATATATATATATATATATATATGATGAAATATAGTTTTAAGGTATGGTATATTTATGGATTAAAGTGCTCAATCTCAGGGATAGAGCCTATGCAAATATAAAATTGGACATTGAATTCAACACTCTTCGTTATCTTATCGATTATATTATAAGCATGAAAATGCGTGTGTATGTGTGTGTGTGTCTGTCTGTCTGTGTGTATGCGCTCGCAATAAAAAAAAACGTAAACGCTTTTTTTCCAATTGCGACATAATGACAACTCACACAACCTAATTATTTCAGTAATTTGCAATTTTCCTGGCCCTGTTCATCCCCACGTGTGGCTTAGTCCAAGAGATGTCTGATTTTATCCAGTTATCATCTCTATAAAGGTTTCCAACCAACGCTATAAAACGTATCTACTCTGATATTTAACCCATCTGAGCGGATGAAAAGTTGATTCCACACTTTTCCCAAGGATATTTGCGCGTAAGTGAATGTAACGTACTCGACTATAATTCGAACACGGCTCTCTGTTTTCTCATCCCGAGCCGCAATACATTACACCACACGCACATCTTTGTGTCAGTAAAGCCTCTTATTTATTTCTACGAAAGCGACAACAGTATCTACAAGCGAAGTAGTTTCAAATTTTACAAAGATTTTCAAGTGACAAAACGTTATTTAATCGATATTGGCTACGCAGTTTCGCATATAGTAAACAGGAGCGTGCATTTCTTTGACTAACAGCTGTGTAGGACCGCACGGAACTTAGTGTGTCAATGTATGTCGCACTTGCCAGTACATAATCTTATTACTCGACGCTGTCTGGTGTTCGCAAACTTTCAGTAGGCATCGGTGCAATTTTTACGCACGGAAGAATTAAATAAAACACTTCTACACTTCTGTCTCATAAGCATTTGATATTACTCATATATATATATATATATATATATATATATATATATATATATATATATTGATGTGAGTTTGTGAAAAACCCCACATTCCGCCTAACCAGCCCTGCGAAATAGGAAAAATCAGCAAAAACATATTAGAAACTATCAACACCAAGCTAAGGTAAAAACTTGGTCTTAACCAATGGAAAACTACCAAGGCTGTCATAGACTGGTTTAAAGCAATTTAAATTAAAAAAACAAAGCTACTTTTATCCAATTTAGCATAGTGGATTTCTACCCATCCATCACGGAAAACATATTGAATGACGCTATACAACTAGCACAACATGTAAAAAGTACGGACGGAGATATTAAAATAATCAACCACTGCCGTACATTTCTGTTGTTTCACAATAATGAACCATGGGCAAAAAACAAAATCACGACCTATTTGATGTAACAATGGGTAGCTACGATGGGTCTTCATGTGAATTAGTAGGTATACTCATGCTCTCATACACGGGACTATATAGAGATGACGGACGTATTCTGATAAGAGCACCTAATGGCCCCAAATTAGACAGATTCAAGAAAAATATAGTAAATGCTCTAAAAACCTTTGGATTTAAAATATAAATATATGCAGGTACAAGAACAGTAAACTTGTCAGACGGCACTCTCAACCTGAACAATAATACATACGAACCGTACAAAAAAGATAATGACACCCTAACTTACGTACACACAACCTCCAACCATCCACCTTCAATCATCAAACAAATACCCATATCAATCAGCCGCAGACTATCTGAGAACTCATCTAACATAGACGTTTACAATAACAAAAAACACCATACGACGAAGCACTATAAGAAAGTGGATGCTCACAACAACTACAATACACACCTCCACAACCGAATGGCAAAAAATGAAAAAGAAATATTATCTGTTTTAACCCACTATACAACAAAACGATCAAAACAAACATAGGAAGGACATTCCTAAATTTAATAGAAAAACACTTCCCTGAAACAAACCGATGAGCAGAAATATTCAACAAAAATAACGTTAAAATCAGCTGCACAAAAAATATAACACGAATATTAAAATGCCACAAAAAAACACACATCAATCCAACTAAATATGTTAGCTCTATCACTGATACTGAGCGCTTTCCAATAAGTACCCCGTATATATAATATATAAATAATGTATATATATGAAAAAAATGCTTTATATATATATATATATATATATATATATATATATATATATATATATATAACCAAATAGCTTACATTGATTGCATATATCTGAGTTTCATCCCGACGCAATTTTCAAGCGCTGACATTTTTTTTTTATTTTGGGTTAACACCGTTTTATAATATTTTATGAGATACATTGTTGTTGAGGTGGGTTATTATTCATGATAAAATATTTAAATGAGTTAGAGTTTAAGTTTGAAATTGAATTTAGGCGCAGATTAACATGTAACATAGCAAATAAGGGTTGGTAATAAAGATCACAAATTCTAATTTAAACAGACGCTGAATTTATCAAAATAATTAATAATATTACTTATATTAACATTGCAAAACTTAATAACATTAGTGAAATCAATAATAAAAAATGCCTTGATAAAATAAAATTAAAGAACTATTGAGAATACATATAAAAACATTAAAAACAAATAAAAAATCCTCTGAAAACAAAACGTTTTTCATAAAATGAGGAAGGAGTTAAGAAGCGAGAACAATAAAAGAACAGGAATGAAGAAGACAGAAAATAACGATTTATATTGCATTGAAATTTTTGAAGATCAAAGTTGAGTGAAAAGGCACAAACCAGAATAGAATTCCACAAGCGAATATTTATTCGTGGTAATTTATAGTATATGTGGCACAAGCGAAAACGGGGAATGATGATGTCTTATCTGTTTAAACTTAAATTTATCTTTCCAAAATCACTAACCCAAACAAACATTATTCCTTGCACCAAAACAACACATTGTCACTTGTCATTTTTACTACATCCATCATACTATGAACCCCTAACTAGTCATCATACGTATGATATTTGTTTGTTCGGTTAGACAAATAAAAACAATAATAGATGAAGTTTTATGAGAACAATAACCGTAAAAATATTTATAGAAAAATCACAGCGAAACTAAATTAGGACGGTGAGAAAGTGGCTGAAACCGAGATGCCAGGTGAAGACCAATAAGATAAGGACCAAGATTCTTCTTCGAAGTTTATCATGAATCTTTAAACAAATAAAAGGGGCACTACAGCAATATTCGAAGCTTGGAGGAATTGTAGAATTATACATATTCAAGATAGACAAGGGCGAGAAAACTTGTCTGGCACGACACAAAATTTCCTAGCGGTAGACATAGAACTGCTTCAATATAATCTTTTCATTTCTTGTCAGCGAAAAATGTTAGCCGAAGAAGGTTAAAATGAGGCATTATCCTGGAGGTTAGCGTCAGCCATGCTGATGGAAGACAGAATGGATTCTCTCAGACAAATAATAGAGCGCGGTTTTGAAGGAGTTAAAATTAAGTCGCCATTTTTTATAACAGTTAACAACAGGAATGAGGTTATTTTTTCAGGTCTGCCACCAATTTGACCGTATCGAACCGATGTCATACATTATTGTAGTGGATATTCGAATTTAAAAAAAAAAGACGCTTTATTTTTACATTAAACGGGGAAAATTAAACACACACACACACACACACACACACACACACACACACACACACATATATATATATATATATATATATATATATATAATGATTGAATTTCACAAAAATAAAAGTTCGACGAGAGTATTTATGTTGGCTATTGTGCTAACTGTTTCTAATACCGCTTTTATGCCAACCAGATTTTTATTTCAATTAATTGCCCAATATTTAGTAACTGAGCATTAATAGCGACATATAAGATTAAATCTGTCTCTATTTTGAATTTGACGGATACGTTAACCATTCATCAAAAAGTTTCGCAGTAAAACTGATTTTATTTACAAAAATCCTATTTTTAAAAGATGTTTTTAAGTACTGTCAATCACCCTGATATGTGGATACCTGACATGTGATATATATGTATGTATGTATGTTTGTATATATATATATATCTATATATTTATATATATATATATATATATATATATATATATATATATATATATATATAAAAGACAGGGATTGTGTGTGTGTGTGTGTGTGTGTGTGTGTGTGTGTGTGTAACGAATGCACGGCCGCAATTTTCGAGGGAGTTGCACCAAAATTTACATGCACAGGCTCTACGTTAGTGGGAAGGCCAAGACCGACGTTGTATTTCCCAACTCCATCAATAGTTGAAATAATCGATTTTTTCATGCTTCTACGGCAGTTTTCATGTAGTTTGCGGCCATTTTCTACTGGCCAGATTGAGAGCCAATAGCTGGCTGACCACGAATAGGCAGGACTTTTCTGATGGCCAACGTGAGAGCCAACATCTGACTGACACGAATGTTAACTAGCATGCTAGCATGCAAAAAAAATCGATAGCTACATTCGTCACAAGTGGGAAAAATTTAAAGTCAACGTTGATTCTGATTCCGCAGAACTGGGTAGACTTTGAAAAAGTATTTGTTGTTAAACATTCTTTTTTCATTCGGTTTTTCCAGTTACGAGTCCGAGCTGATCGTTTTGTGTTCATTTTGTTTAGTTCTTTTTTCGTAACAGATTTAATGTTTAGTATAGAGCTTAAAAAAAAATCGCAGTGTAAGATAGGCAAGAAGTAAAGCATGTAGCAACATCAGCACGGCAAAGGGCACTCCTTTAAAGGCAAGGAAGGGCAAAAATATTTTAAGTCAAGTGATAGCGATTGCCGTATGAGTCGTTCGGTTTTTGAATCAAGCACGGGCAACGGCAACTGCAAGTATATATATATATATATATATATATATATATATATATATATAAATGTTCCCTGCACAAAGTTTAACGAAATATATATATATATATATATATATATATATATATATATTAACGTTGTGCAGGTAAACATTTAATTATATATCTATATATATATATAAATATATATATATATATATATATATATATATATATATATATAATGTTCCCCTGCACAAAGTTTAACGGATACATACACACACACACACACACACACACACACACACACATATATATATATATATATATATATATATATATATATATATATATATATATTAATAGTTGTGCAGGTAAACATTTAACTATATATATTTATCTCTCTCCCTCTCTCTCTATATATATATATATATATATATATATATATATATATATATATATATATATATATATATATATATTAATAGTCGTAAATGTAGCTGTGAATTTAGAATTCAGTATCTTTTCAGAGATTGTTTAAAGAATTAACATCTGGTATTTCCCACGACCGAATTGCATACATTTACAATCATTTCTGCGAGTGTCACAAAAACACCCACATAACCATACAAGTAATTTCTTTAAGATCTATTTGCAAGTTAGCCTCAGCTACCCGACTCTCAACACGTCGATCGACGTCCAACACGTCCAGATTTCTTTTCTCTTCGGGCATCAACTGCATAGAATGAGAAATGTTGAATCCACTCGAAGACTACACATAAATAGACTGCTACCCATTTGCTGCGGGTATGGCCGATTTTACAAGTACGACGTTTACTGAAGAAAAATGCAGTCGTTATTTTAAAGAATAGTTAATCCCTTGGGATTTGTGGGTTCATCTTTACGTTTGGATGTACGGAAAATCCACATATTCTGGTTTAGTGGAAGGAAGAAACAATCAATACAAATATTAATTTAATTCTGAAGTGTTAACTGATATAAATTAACCACTTGTCATTGAACATGGAATAGGAATATTCTTATCCCTGTGGCTCGAATAAAGTATTCGGCTCAAAAGAAAGTTATCAGGTACGAGTAACAGCAGAGGATAACCGGAGAGTAAGACGGTCGAAACGTTGAGATTATAACAAACAAAGAAAAAAGAAAACTGAAAGAAATGACAACGTTCCCCATCCCTCAAAGGAATATGATGTTTCCTTTCAATTCGGAAAAATTATTTCCTTGAATGGATTTATAGCCGATAAAGAGCTGCTCAACCCAGGATCAATATTTCCGACATTCCCCCCCGCCGCCATAATCTAGCGACAAGGTGACATCATGACTGGTTGATCAGTTGCAATCAATGCAGAGACCAATCTTCAATAAATAAAAAGAAAAGAAAAGAAAATGAACTATAAAAGATATACCAACCTACTATTTAACCCATAACTGAAGGGAGATGAATTCGTGTTTTATTTTCAAGATCTTTAATGTTAACACACACACACACACTTGGGAGTACTGGTGGAAAGCACTTACATTGAACTCATCAACTACGAGAAATATCCATTAATGGTTAAAGGTACCAGTTTGAATTCGTAATCCTCCTTCTCGTATAATGGCTGCCAAACAAAGAGAGAAACTAGACAAGAAGTGGCAGGTTCGCACTCCTCCACGTTTTTTTTTGTTTTTTTTTTTAAACTGGTCTAAAGTTTTATCATACAGTATCAGTATTCGATAAAAGTGACTCACCTGATTTTTTTTACTTAAAATTTTTTCGCATATTGTTTTTGGGGTCAAACAAATTTTTAATCTTACTAATATAAAGACCCGTTCCCAACCACCCAGTAAAAAAAAAGTTTACTCACCCTAAGGTATTCTATTGATAATTATAATTTTGGATATAAATGGGATTTAGGGAAAAACTATGTGCAAAAAAAAGTGACTCACTTATTTCCTGCAACTAGTAATCAATAGAAACATAACCGCACAGCTTTAAATAAAGCATAATAGAGGTATAATTTATCTATAATAGGTAATATAGTTCGAAATATTTAATAATCTATGGGTCCTCTTTTATTTTGAATAACCTTTTCAACCCTTTTTGGCATTGACTTGATTAGATTCTGGCAAATCTCATCTCCAAGCATTGAATTCCATTCGGATATGAAATTCACAATCAAATCCTCTTTGTTGCTCAACTGCTTTGTCGAGAGCCTGTACTTTATAATGCTCCATAAGTTTTGTATGGGGTTGAGGTCAGGAGATTGGGGCGGCCATGTCATAACACTCACCTGCTTCTCATCAAAGTATTCATTCATCAATTTTGATTTGTGACAGGGAGCATTATCCTGCATAAAAATGAGCTTGGTGGGGTCGATTTGCACCCTTTCAGTAGAAGGGAGAAGACAAGACTCTTAAATTTTATTGCACTGCTCACTCCTGAGGGTCTTTTCAATAGGTTTTAAGAAGCCAGTTCCATGAAAAGAAAAGCATCCCCAGAACATTATACTGAATGGATGCTTGACAGTACTTATTGCTAAATTCAAAGAGCTTTCAAAGCTTCTTCGGATTTTAAATCGCTTATCCTTTGAATTTTGCTTAACTTTCGTTTCACCGGAGAAGAGAACATTTAGTAAAAAAAATCAGGTCAGTCACTTTTATCGAACAGTACTGTCTGCTTACTCTAGGATTAAGTTTCCGGTTCGTCCTAAAGACTGCATTACCACTGTACTCCTAACGTCTGCCCCTGATCTCTGAAATTTTAACCAATAAATATTTATTTAATTTTATATTTTTATCTTCTCCATCAATAAGATTAGATAGGTTCACCTCTCGCCTGCTTCACACTCCTACCAGGTCTTATGAATAGAAGTAGGATTTTATCCCTTGTTTCCTGCTTGGGATTGTGTTTCCAGTTCTTTCTAAATTCTGCTTCAGCGATATCCTCCCAACTTCTGTTCTTTCCTACGCTCATACAACCCCACACAGCATCAATCTACCTTGAGTGACTCTTTGGTGAGCATTAGTAAAAAAAAAACCCAAAAAAACTATAACTTTAGGGAAATGGAGTCATATATTTTTCAAGACTAATAGTGCAAAGCGATGTTATTTTAACTCAGCCAAATGATTGCATTATACGCAATGATAATCCATAGATGATCCATAGATTCTCAACCAAAGAAAAGTAAATAATAAAGAATTTTATTCTATCCAGAATGATTGTCTTGATAACCCAGCAGGTTAGAAGAGGGCTTATAACAGCAGTTCCATATAATGCATTTTTTTCTTCTGCGATTCTGATAACGCAAAAGCAATTTCACTAGATCATAGATTCCACGATTAGCAGTTGTAACCACTAAGCTATATCCGCAAGTGCTGCAGGCAAAAGATGTTGAAAAATAGACTCGAGATTAATAGCAACGGGCGGAATTCATTTTCGTTTCGTCGAGTGGGTGTTGCGCTGGTTCTCAGCTGAATCGACGTGGCAGTACACCAAGCCATTTCACTTTCTATAATTACCCTGTTCACAGCCGATATTCTCGTAATTGAAGCGACCAGATTCATTACAGTTTCCATAATGGAATTTATAATCAGTCTCATTTCCGGCCCGCCAGATAAACCGGAAGTATTTGAAGAGAGAAGCGCCCGAGGCAAGATGGACGCCGCTTCATTGTTGAATATTGAAGACCTGTCTCTTTACTTAATTGTGTAATATTCCGTGTGATGATGTGTAAGTATGCTATTGAGTGTATGAGATGTGTAGATCACAGTACGCTTTTTACTGAGCATATTTTTAGATTTATTTGCGAGAAATAATTGAGACGGAGACGGAGAGAGTGAGGAAATCTACTGATTACATTAGAAGTAATATTCATATAACAAAAATAATCATCTATCTATCTATCTATCTATCTATCTATCTATCTATCTATCTATCTATCAAATCTCTCCTCTCTCTCTCTCTCTCTCTCTCTATATATATATATATATATATATATATATATATATATATATATATATATTAGTTTCCTCATTTGATAAAGTACGACACAAAGATCTGTTGGAACTGCTCACCAACATTAATATATTTGGGAAGGATATTAGAATAATCAAGAACCTATATTGGCAGCAAACCGCCAGTATAAAGATAGAAAATGAGCAGATGTACAAAAATAGAAAAAAAAAGTTGTCTCTGGCTGGACTTATTCAACCTATATAGCGAAGCGATTCTGAGAGAAGTCATAACGGGACTCAATGTTGCTGGCCACAATCTTAACAGCATAGCATATGCACATGACCCAATGTTAATAGCTGAAGAAAAACGGAAACTACAATACCTCTTACAGAATGTAGGGACCGACAACGAAAGTACAAAACATCACTTACAAGAAGACAGAATGTATTGTAGTTAGTAAAAATATGATCCCAAAATGCAAATTAGAAGTACCAAAATCCCAAAAATCAAACATATATATATATGTGTGTGTGTGTGTGTGTGTGTGTGTGTGTGTGTGTGTGTGTGTGTGTGTGTGTGTGAAAAGTGTATATAAATATAAATAGATATATATATGTATAATTATTTATATATTATATGCGCGGTAATTATTAGAAAGCGCTCAATATCAGAGATAGAGCTAACATATTTGGTTGGATTGATGTGAGTTTGTGACCCTGGGTTTCACGCTTTAGCGATCATCAGACAAACGATCGCTAAAGCGTGAAACCCAGGGTCACAAACTCACATCTATCCAACAATATATATATATATATATATATATATATGTTAAGCATTCAACCCCAAGCAAGGCGGGAAGCCACTAGCACGCAAAGGGTTTCAGAGTAGGAGCGAGAACAAAGATGAGTGATAGAGGAAAGGATGAAGAGAAGTTTAGGGGATAGATCCCGGCATCTGGAGACGTCGATTGACGTTACATTCAAATAGTTGGAGATTATAGTTATCAGGAAAACAAGAAATGGGGAAGGGGTTCCACGGGCGAGAAGTGCGAGACATGAAGCTATTGGACTAGAAGAGGCAGCTATATTTAACAGTTTCGACAGTGAAAGAGTGAGAGCGAGATGCCAGCCTAGTTGAGCGCTTAAATTCACGAAGTCTGGGAACCAGCGAAAGCAGCTCACCGGAGCAGCTACCGTGAAAGTATTTGTAAAAAGGACAGAGGGAGGCAACGGCGCGTCTGTGAGAGAACGGTTCCAGACGAGATGCCAGATCAGGGCCAATTACATCTGGGAAGTGTTTTAATAGACAGCGGAAAGTGCGACGCTCTAATCCGAAGGCGCATTAGGATGTATTCCAAAAGGTGATGAAGGTAAAAGAAACAGTAAAATTTCGTTAGGAACAAAGAAAAAAATCCGGAACAATTACGTGATATATGTTTTCCTTTATGGCCGTGAATGCTGTACAATCTCCTCAAAGGGAAAGACGGACCTTGGAGTAACAGAAGCTGACGGGAAAGCAAGAGGTCGGAAGACAATTACAGAACAGGCGAGAAATGCAAAATTCTGTTAGCATGGAACTTGCAGCAAAAATACATAACTCTGCTACAGCAAATATTAAAAGCATAAAATTTAAAATGTTTTAAAATGCATTTGTAATATTATACCTGCATGCATATACATGAATATATATTCTGTGTATCTTGGCAGCAAATGTTCTTTAAGGCAAAGGTTATTGAAGACAACAGAGATTTTGCGTCGATTAATTTTATTGCTCGAATTTTCTGAATTACGAATAATCCTCCTCAAATAGAAGGGGATTCCAACAGAAAGTGTCCAGTCATACTGCCCCCGACCTCGCCAATAAACACGCACAGGTCACACCTCGATTACGTCACAACACTCTTTGGCCACGATATCACTAGTAGTATGAAACCAAATATTTGTCTCTACCTACCTTGATGATGCCTTAAGAAATTCGAAAGCTTGGACTATATTTATTCGGAAATGAACTTTGAAGAATATATGACAGAATTTCCTCCTTAACTGAGATAATTTAGAAAAGTCAATCAGTTAATTTATGCACACAAATTTTTTGTTGTCTTATATATATATATATATATATATATATATATATATATATATATATATATATATCGGCACAAAATTTATGTTGCCCTACCTATCTATCTATCTACATCTATATATCTATCTATCTATCTATCTATCTATCTATCTATCTATATATATATATATATATATATATATATATATATATATATATATATATATATATATATATATATATATAGGATAAAGGAAAAACCTGTATAAATCTAACACGTTTCGCTTTTATTAAAGATTCATCAGACAACGTGATATGAAAAAATTACTGGTTCTTTTTAGTTTTTGTTTATTTTCATTGGTTTGCATTCGACTTGTCAAACAGCGTTCGTGTATATAATCTCTGTGTATGTATATGATAGTTCTAGTTTGTCTATGCTGCATTCAGCTGATAATGTATATAAGTATGTGTGTGTGTGTGTGTGTGTGTGTGTGTGTGTGTGTGTGTGTGTGTGTGTGTGTATGCCTACTAAGCAATATTTATTTTCCCTGTTGTCCCTATGTTGATTTAGAGGCATTTTGGCGTCAACACCTGTCGTGGTAGTTAAATATAGAAATTAGATTCTTTACAACAGGCTTTGATAAAGGTTGATGCTGTAATATAACTTTCTGACGTGCGTTTATAGCTGGTAAAATATTTATCAAACACCTAAAGTGCATTTTTCGACGTAACGTGTAATGTTCTTTATTTAATTTGGATGGCGCTTGTCAAAGTTAGGGCCTGTATTGTTCCTGTGTATTACAAGCGTCTTTTAAGAGTTGTAGGTCTCTCTTGTGTTCAATGCTGGCTTTTAGCTTTAGCGACGTTTCACCAATATAAGTGTATCTACATTGCAACCGCTTTATCTGATAAATTGAAGTGATATTTGTGCTATTTTTCCTCCTAATTTTATCTTCAATTGTCTTAGAAGTAGAGTAAAGATCCTAGTGTTGGGGATAACTAATTTATTTTCAAATTTTGTACATAGTGTGTTAGAGAGTAGGATCAAGTCAGGGTAAGGTTGGGGTGTCTAAATTCAAAGCGGAAGATGACATCGTCTAGTCTGGTTAAGTGTCTATGGAGATTTATTTATTTTTTTATTTTATTTTTTTCCCTGAAATGTTAGCGAATTATGACAGTTTTTTTATATACACAAAACCTTAAAGAAATAAAATAAAATAAAATAAATAAATAAATAAATAAATCTCCATAGACGCTTAACCAGACTACACTCCGCTTTGAACTCAGACACCCCAAACTTACCCTGACTTGACCTCTTTGAATGTAACTTAGATATTGATAGAAATTATTAACCCTTACGTCCCTTTTTATTAAATAATTACTCTAGCCGTTACCATAGTAATTTTAATTTTAATAATGAATATGCTTATAAAAAATTAGTTATTCCAAAAAAAATTTCGCTTGAAGATGGAACAGAGCTTGGTACTTTAATTCAATTTAATTCAAATAATTATATTGAATTTTTCGGCTCTTGTTTTGAAACATGAGAACACTTATGTAGAGATGGAATCATATTTTTAAATAAATAATTATATTTAGGCTCTACTTTTGTATCGAGCTCAGTTTTTTTTTTTTAAATAATAGCAAAAATACTAAAGAACTTTGGATTATTTACCCAACGAGTTCTTTCGCATTTTCTATATATTTTCACACACACACACACACACACACACACACACACACATATATATATATATATATATATATATATATATATATATATATTATGAAATGGATAAAGTCCGACAATTATTTTAAGACAATTTTATATTTATACGTTCTTTTTATAGCTACAAATATTTAAGTAAACAGTAACAGTATTAACGACATTTACCGGCTTGAATGTCCGAGAAATCTACGTAGAAAATATGCGTCCTTCGACAGGAATTGAACCTGTATCCTACACGGAACAATCATGTAGCCCGACGTGCTATACCAATTCAGCCACAGAGGGGCGTTTCACAGGTTCGATTCCTGTTGGTGGGCGCATATTTTCTATGAAAATTTCTTGAACATTCAGGCTGGTAAATATTAATACTGGTTATTATAAACAGATCATTTCCTTAAATATTTATATCTATAAAAAGAACACACACACACACACACACACACACATATATATATATATATATATATATATATATATACCGTTTAATTTCTGCAGGTTCTGTATAGAGAGCAGGGTTATTAGCGTCTCTAAACTTGCAAAGCACAAACGTAATATATTTCCAATCCCTGTTATTGAAATTCATGTTTGTATCTCTATTTTAAATTAACAAGAGAAAATGTACTGTATCACTATGTGATTCTTTTAGAAATGTAAATTATTTTGGATATCTTTTGAAGGAGGTCGGTTATACACACTAATGTCTTCATTTGATCGTTATTAGATCTCAACTGAGCAAGACTATTGTGGGGAACCAAACAGAACAATGTCAGAATATACAGGTACTTATTAAATCCATTTGCCTTTATGCAGAATTCCCGTTCTGGGTGTAATGATAAACTACATCCAGCAGCAAGACCTGAGACCGGGAGGGTTTTGAGCGTGGTTGAACCACGTTTTAATTGCTGTTGTTCCCAGGTCCACCCTTATACAGGGTGATGGCGCCTG